TAAATCAGGTCATAGTCAGAATCCACAATGTTTCTCCTTAATCATCAGCAAACAGAGATGTCCATAAACAGGGACCTTGCTCTCTTTCCTTTCTTCCATCTGTAGTTCCTTCCATTTTCTCCTGAATTAAAAAAAATAATAATAATACACAGAGGCACTAGTCTAGTACAAAAAGCCTCTCTTTCATAGGTCTAGTAGAGACACTGGTCAAACTACATGGAAATATTCAAAGCCCATCCCCCAAGAAAGGGCAAGGAAAAAATGAAAATGTATTTTCTGAGTTACATCAGGAAATAGAATGTTTTACTTCATCTTTCAAACACTACAAATTCAAACTTTCAGTGATTATATTGAGGTATAATTAGAAAAGACAGTGTTTCTGAGTCACCTCTCTTGTGTTTTAATTCCCCTTCTCCTGCCTGCTGCACTCTTTAGACAATAGAATCCAGTCCTGCTTCATATGACACCAGTGTCCCTTGCCTTTCCTTCCTTCCAAGCTCTGGTCACACATTCTCTAACTACTTGCTGGCCATCTTCACCAGATGTCCTTCAACACCTCCATCCCAAATTCACCTCCCATTTGCACAATGCTCCTATACCTTTAGCCTCGTTGCTTCCATTCCTGGCTGGAAGCAACCTCATGGTATATTTGCTTATGTCTACTTTGTGACTAGTACATGATGCATCTCAGCACTAGACTGTAAGTTCCTTAAGAGTAGAATCCGTGTTTCATTCATTTTTATATTCATCACATCATTTGGCAAGTGCCTTGCACACTGGAGTACTCACCAAGTATTTTATGAATGTAGAGGGCACTCAGCCTTTGGTGTTCATGGCAGGGAAATCACAGGGACCCAAATGAATGGGGAAGGACTGGAGAGGTATTGTGGCAAAGTCTGGGACATGGGAAGGGAGCAATATCCTCTGCAAATGCCTTACAGAGTGCTGATCATTCCAAATATTCAGTAAGGCATAGTAGACTGAGTGACTAATGCTCATTGCTCTTGGAAAGGTGTTGGAGTGGTGGGGTGACGGCATTCATTAGCCCTAGAGGAAAGAGTCAGGAGCCAGAGCAAGGGGCAAGTTACATACTCTTTCTGCCTAGTGCCACCAACAACAAACCCCAGTTCTCTGCTCCTGCTCGACTGCCACAAACACATATAATGTCTACAAACTTTGGATGAAAGGTAATAGGTCATCACCATCATTATCACAGTTTTTTACTTTCCCACTAAACTATGAGCTTCCTAAGAATGAGGATCAATCTACCTCAGTACTTAACTCGTTCATGTTGATAACTAATAATGCCTGGCACATTGGTGCTCAATAAATGTGCTGAACATCAAGTTCAACTTATAGAGAGACCTTAATATACATGAGGCTAAAAATGTGTACATAAGGACATGCAATCATTAAGAAAAACTATTAATCCGTTTTTTTTTTTTTAATGTTCATGGGAAATGGTCCTGGAATGAATATGCTTAAACCAAAATTTTAAAAAATTAAATCAGAATAACTTATTTTTTCTCTCACAGTGTGTTTTTACAGACCACCTGCATCAGCATCACCTGAGATATATTACATATAAACTGAATCTATATATTTCAGATTCATGTGCCCTCAACTCCAGAATGAGGGAATGCTACTCTTTGGAGTGGGCGTGGAAGCCTACATTTTAAACATACACTGTAGGAGTTTAGCAAATTTGAGTACGCTGAAATTTTAGGACTTTGGCCTGGAGTGACAGCTGTGTGCGTATGGAGAGAGCTGTTTCAGGGAGAGTTGATACAACCCTGAGATTTAATTATCCAATATACTGAGGAATTTTCTCTCTAGGTTCTTTGAGCATATGATAGATCTCTTTTTGTCTCCGATGACTTCGAGCCAAGAAACTGGTCAAGATGACCTCACAAGATTCTTTCCAGATATATAATGCTATGAAAAACACATTCGCCCTCATTTCAACAGGCACAACTTCGACATGCACAGGAATGAAATTCCGGACCCGTCAACTTTGCTGATGATGAAAATGGCTTAACTAGTTTGTCTTGAAAGTTGCGTTTTCTTCTGTTAATTAAGTCCAACATTATTGAATGCCTCGTTAGTGCAAGCTCATGCAAGATGCTTTGGAAGGAAGTTAGAATACGAATCAACCAGGGTATTCTGAGGAGCTCACCACACAAGACATACGATGAGAGGCACGCATATGAAAGTTAGGCAGCAACTCAAAACACTAGGGAAAAAGTCATGGGACAGTGTTTGCTGAGTGCTCAAAATTAATTATATTAAAAATAATGTCTCAGGGTATTCTGAGGAGAGTGGTCACTTCAAGCTGGGCATGAGATTTGACCGAACCTCAAGGAATGGGGGAAGATTTGGAAAGGCAGAAAGGGAAAGGAAGGGTGTATCCGGAAACTGGAATGGCATAAGAAAATTTTAGATGAGGAGAGGTTTGGCACTTCTCCATTTGGCAGAAGTGGAGGTTTAATCAAGAATGATGGGAAAGATGAGTAAATTGGAGAGCTGCTTCATGAAGGGTTCTAATGCCATACAACAAGAATTGTGGTTATCTTCTTAGAGGGAAATTGGAGAATTACAGGAAACTAAGTTTTGAGAAAGCATTATTTATTTAGCTAGCTAGTTAGTTTTTGGAGACAGGGTCTCACTCTGTCACCCAGGCTTGAATGCAGTGGTGTGACCATAGTTCATTGCAGCCTGGAACTCCCAGCCTCAAGCCATCCTCCCACCTCAACCTCCTGAGTAACTAGGACTACACTACCATGCCTGGATAGCTTTTATTTCTTTTTAGAGGGGTGGGTCACTATGTTTGCCAGGCTGGTCTCAAACTCCTGGCCTCAAGCGAACCTCCTACCTTGATTATGTTCCCAAAACACTGAGATTACAGGTGCAAGCCACCATGCGCAGCCAGAAATAGTACTTTGACAAGATTAATCCAATGGCAGTTTTATGGTGATTTTTGAAGAGAAAATATGTACAGTAGTTAGACAGTTGGAAAGCTATTACAATGGACCACACATGAGATAAAAAGACTCTAACCAGGGCTGGAGTGCAGTAGGAAGGAAAAGCAAGAAAGAAATGCAAGAGATATTATGAAATGAAGAAAGGACAACAAAACCCAGTGACCAACCGGACATGGGGTTGCAAAAGAGAGAGGAATCGAAGATGAGCATCCTTTTTAATCTTGCAAGTATTGATCACCACTTAGCCATATCCAACCTTTTTTAGACAAAGGTGTTTCTTCTGTTTCTGAGCTTTGCCCATGCATTTTTCTATTGACTTATATTAGCTTCAGTAATAACCATGTCTGTGCATTTCTAGGCACTTCTGTATTGCATGCTGCTACCAAAGAGATGTCCAATTCCACTCATTGAGAGCAAGCAGAATCTTGCAAAAACCAGGCCATTGTTGAGTGGTAAGTCATATCTTGGCACATCTGCTGTTTAGTGAAAGTACTCTGGCTCAGATGTTAGCGTGTAGCCAGCAAGAAGCCATCAACAGATGATAGAGTAATTGATAGATAGATAAATGGTGGGAGAACCATGATAAGGAAGAAATGTCAACACATATGATATGCCATCATTTTCAAAAACAGAACTATAGTTTCTACACTGGATCTGGTTCTTAAGGGAGGAAAATGCAAGCTGTTCTTAGGGCTTACTCAACAACTCAGAAAGAGAAGAGAAAGCAGACCCTGAAGCCCTAGAGGGAGATTCACCGTGCTCCAACTCAGACACTACCTAAAGCAGTTCTTCAGCTTCTACAGTGAATGAATGTCTGATACATTTGCAAATAAGGAACGTGAAGCAGTGAGGTCAGATGAGAGGGAGATTAGCATGGCATTCACCTTTCCCCCCAGAGAGAAGGGCAAGTGCTTTGGTTAAGGACGGCCTGATTATATGGCGTGCGTCTTTTCTGGAGCGGGGAAGAAAATGTCTTAACATAACCCTCAATCAAAAAAATCCAATGTTTGATGGAGATGGAAATAGAGATGTCTCCTACACATTTGGGAACAGGAGCTAGCCTCAAGGAGAATGAAGGAACACTGCAGAAAGTGGTAGATGAGGTTGTACTTCTGAAAAAGGGGACAAGATGAATCCTCCAATTAGATATGGGTAAAATCTGGGGAGAAATAACTACCTAATAAACATCACATTACAGTTAGGAAAAGGGGGTTATTTCCACCCTGGGTCTGGACCTTCTAGAGCTGTATGGGCAGAAAGAAAGACTCAATGGAGCTCAAGTGCTTGGCGGAGGGTGGAAAGAGCCCTCTGCAGACTGCTCTGGCAACCGTCCATGATGCTGTGCAGGTGTGGCAGGCTGAGAGTGAGAGCAGCTGGATGACCTACGTGAGAAACTGCAGTCAGCAGTGGAAAGAAGACGCAAGAACTGTCTGAGGACTCCATCTATGCCTAGGATTGGAATTTCTGCCAGTTTGTTAGCAATTCTTCCCATGCTTATTCCTTGCCCAAGAGGCAGAGACTGAGATGAAGATTCATGGCACCGTAGCCAGAGGTGCAGCAACATTTATGGTGCATGGATTCCTCCAGCAGCTCTAGGGACCTGGTAGGGCAAAAACTGCCACACGGAAACTGGAGGATAGAAATAGTCATGATCATGATGCTGCTGCCACTTAAAAGTGCTCCTTATGCGCCAGGCACTGTGCTGAATTCTTCACACATTCTAGTGCTTTCGATCCTCATGATGAACTTATAGAGCTATTATTGTCCCCAAAGAAGACTGAGGCACCAACAGGTTAAATAACTGACCTATATTTACACAACCCAGGTTCCTCACTGCTGTGAGAGAGCTCAGATGACTTGCCCTCAGCCTGGAGTCTGAAAAAGAAACTCTAAGGAAGAACGGAGACACAGATTGACCAGCTCTCTCCTAGGCCCAAACCTCCCCCTTAAACACTGGCTCTCACAAGCAGATGCCTTGAGCAAAGCCTGTGCCCAGCTAAGTGAAAATCTTTCACTTACCTTCCAGAGGTCACCCTGATGCAGACGAAGAGAAAAATAAATTTGCTCAGCTTCAGATGTAGCTATCCTTCCTATCACAGGCAAGAGCATCTCCGTAGTGATGAAAAGCTCTATAATTTTGAACGTGTTATTGGTCTAAGCACAATTTACACTAGGGATGAAAAAAGGGAAGAGATTTATGAGATGTAAGATAGAAAGATAAACTCTTGTCCCTTAGTGGCTATTAGAAACATTGCCAACATACCATAAATGTGTGAAAGATGACATGATTATTTTACATTTCCACTGGGCATTTCATACGTTGCAAGAATTTACAGGGGCCAAAGTCCCCAGTAAAGATGGTGGAGTCCGAGGGGATAGTGGAGGACGCCCCAATGGCCAAGCCCCCATTTGGGATAGGTATAGGGCAGATGGCTTTAGACAGCGAGAGCACACTCCGTTGCCTAAGGTGCAACACCCAGCAGCATCCTTCTATTTCCTGCCTCTAGCCACCTGCTCTGAGGGCAGGTTCTGTGGCCAGGCACTGTCCCATGTTTCATCTAGCTTTGGTGTCAAATTCTGGGTCTAAGTCTTCCAGTTTATCACAAAATCTGAAACAAGAGAAGAGAGCCAGGGCAGAAGAACCAGCAAGATTCATCTACCTACCCCCCAAAGCCTCATAAACATAAGCAGCCAGGCCAGGCGCATTGGCTCACGCCTGTAATCCCAGCACTTTGGGAGGCTAAGGCGGGTGGATAACCTGAGGTCGGGAGCTCGAGACCAGCCTGACCAACATGGAGAAACCCCATCTCTACTAAAAATACAAAATTAGTCGGTCCTGTTGCATGTCTGTAATCCCAGCTACTCAGGAGGCTGAGGCAGGAGAATCACTTGAATCCAGGAGGCAGAGGGTGCAGTGAGCCGAGATCATGCCATTGCACTCCAGCCTGGGCAACAAGAGCGAAATTTCATCTCAAAACAAAAAGCATTCAGTGAGTTAGTGCCACTAACCTGGCCCCAAGAGACACAGGAGATTTGATCAAAGAGAAAGGGATTGGTGATCAGAAAGTGATTTACCTGAAACCCACTTTAAATGATTCTCGCAGCTGGCCAGTGTGGACCGGTTATCCTGGCAGGGACATCATCAACATCAACATCGGAAAGCCCAGTCACAGGAAGTTAGTCACAGTGCAGGCTGCTGAGTCAAGGCTGGGATGCAGGTCACATAGAGTCCTGGGGTGAAACCTGATGACGCGTCCGAAGCTCCCCTGACACAGCAGGAGCTTTCTGAGCAGGAGGTAAACTCCAGCTCTGATCCCTGGAGAAACGTAATAGCAGGCTTGGGTTTTTAATTTATTTACTTATTTGTAGAAATGGGGTCTCACTATTTTGCCCAGACTGGTCTCAAACTCTTGGCCTCAAGTGATACTCTTGCCTTGGCCCCCTCTAAAATTGCAGCCACCATGCCAGACTTTTGGTTTTGGTGGGACAGGATAACAACGATTGGGAAGTTAGGTTTATAAGATTTGCTCATTTTTTGGTGACATCAGTCATTTCTTGCAGAGCCAAGTACAGGGTCCCATGGCCTGTAATAGAGAGGCCAAATGACTGGGTGAGGTTTCACTTTCTGCAAGTTGGATATCTTTCCAATGGACCCACCACTCTCAAAGATGAATGTTAAGAGAATTAGCAGTAGAACATCTGCAAGTCAATTGAGGTGTCGTAAGGGGAAGTGCTATGCAAATAGTCTTAGGAAGCACTTGTGAAGTTAGGGATATGGAGTCCTTAAATATATGGAAATGAGGGCCAGATGTCAGAAGTCCTGGATTTCACTATGTGACTCCTGTATCTGACAAGAGAGTACTTTAGTGGCTGTATCCTATATTTAAATGTAGGCTGCAAATGGAAAAACAGTTTTTACAACTCTAAATACACTTTCTACTACAGAGAATGGTGACTGAAGCAAAAGTAAAAATAGCTGCTCACACCACGGTTTGAGAAAATCTAAATCTGAAAATGATCATTTTTATTTGCATGCTACCAAATAAGGACATTGGGGAAGCAATGAGTCACCAGTATGTTAGCATTTACCAGATTCCAACATGATGTGAGAATATTCTTTAAGATGAGATTTGAATATGCTCAAATCTACGTTAAGCTTTACCCTTGAGGGGTAACTTTAAGTTCCTATCTGAAAAATGGGTCATACATGGGAGACTGAAGTGGGAGAATCGCTTGAGCCTGGGAGGTGAAGGTTGCAGTGAGCTGAGATTGTGCCATTGCACTTCAGCCTGGGCAATACAGTGAGACCCTGTCTTAAAAAAAAAAAAAAAAAGGCCAAATCACAGCTCTACAGCATAGTTACAGCAGTGCTCCAATTAATGATTTCAATGCCTTCAAACACTCAAATACAAGGGAATAAGATCTCACATCTGAAGAGTACCTTAGGCTTTTTAAAGTACTTTCACCTACACTATCTCATTTGATTCTCACAAAATCCTTGAGGCAAGGTGTTTGTAAGTGTGTGGTTGTCATATTAGAATATCACTGAACTGTGAATCTTTCTGTAGAGATGGGATAAATCACTGCCCTGTAGGAAAAAAAAGGAACAAACAAAGGAAAATGAGGAGGTTTCGAGATCTAAGCTTCCTGTTAACAGACTCCTGTCACATGGCCCCTGTATAAACCAGTTCTCTTAAAGTGCCAAAACCCAGCAGAAAGCTTTAGAAATTGTTTACAACCCAAGTGTGTTTTCTTCTTTCCAATGCTTTTAGAAGACAGTTTAAAGAGAGTTAGGGAATGCTCTGGCCTTTTGTTTTGAAATCTTCTCTGCTTGTTGTCTAGTTGTCTGCAGACTGTGAGATTGGTCTATTTGCTTTAAACAGACTGAACAACTTTTAAAACAAGCAGGCTGTTATGATGGGTTGACTCATTTTGGATGTGCAAAGATGTTTACTGAGCTTCTCATCTGAAACTTGAAAATTCTTCTGTCTCAGTGTGACACAGTAATAGTTTAAAGGGGAGTGCCGTCTGTTGTAGTGTTTTGGAAGGTGGCAAAAGAAAAATGTCTCTGTTCTCCAGGATGATCAGCTATCTGCCTCTCCCCAAGGATTTTTCATGTGCCTTAGAAGGAAATCCATATCATTCAAGTTCCCAAGGGCAAACCACCTTTGCCAAGAGACCACTCAGTACAATTTCCAAAGATGGAACACATTTTTTGTTATGCTTCTGGTTTAGCCCTGTATCTGAGGTGGAGCTCAGGCCCTTGCATCCCAGGGGGAATTTCTGGAGAGTCGGGAACAATTGCAAAAGGTTTTACATACTAACTTATCATAGCAAAATAATGAAATAAATGAAGATGCTATCCACACCGCTCCTCTTCTTCACTCTGCAGAGGTGGTGGGGTGGAAAGGGGGTGAAAGGGATTGCCCCCAAGCCAGGAAGCTTACACTTCTGTCCCCTCGTCCTGAGTTGGCACCCATCTTTGTGGAATACAACTCGCTGTGTAGGGGGTTTCTCCTGCTAGAAAGGAGGCCACGGAGTGAGCAACAACAGGAGTGCTGGGCATTAGGACATCAAACAGCAGGTCGGAGGGACCAGGGATTAGGAAACAAGAGTTCTGGTCCTGCCTCCCTCTCTAATTACCTGTGTGACTTTGGACTAGACATTCTACCTCTTTCATCTGTCAAATCAGAGGGTTGGACTGTGTTCTCCAAGGTCCCTCCTAACAGCTTCTGAAAAAGAAACATGTAGGGAGGTTGTGAAGCCAAACATGATGATCCCCGTTAGCTGTAAGAAGAATAGACCTTGGAGGTGGTGCAAAAATAATCCGCAAGGAAGCCTTGCGGTGAGTCGGAAAACTCTGAGGAATCGTAGAATTGTGCGTCGGGTATAACGCGAGTGGAGATATACCAGACAATCTAAAATGGGACACATGTAGCTCACATCTTAAAGCAGGGAAGTCGGGCTTCTGAACCGAGGCTGTGTCCTTTTCTTTTTCCAGTCTCTCCCCATGATAATGTAGCACCTTGTGCACACAATTAAATGTCAGCCACAGAAAACATTTCCCTTGGCTTTGTTGTTCCAGAACGGGATTCTTTTGTCCTCAATATAATGGATATGCAGAAACAATGATAGAACAGAGATTTTTTTTCTAAAGCGATGACAAACACACTGCTGCTTCCTCCCTCCCTCCCTCCTTCCTCCTTATCCCCACCCCCAAAATAAATCATTGTTCCAAAAAAAAAAAAAATCCCATTGTCTATTGTCCACGGAGATCAAGATCTGCCTAGGAACAGCTCTGGCGGGCGCCGCAGCAGCCCGGAGCAGCCGGTAGGTGGCGCACGAAGGCAGCGCAGGCGGAGCGCAGAGCCGAGCCCCGAGCGGGGGTCTCGCCGCCCCCACCCCAGCCGCCGCCGCCGCCTTCCACCCCTCCTCGCGTGCTAATTGCTGGATACTCTACCGGGACTTCGGTCAGGGAAAAAGAAAGCGGGAATGGGAGGCGGGGGAGGGAGGCATACACAAAGCCTCCGGGGCCTCGGCGGCCCAGGAGCAGGGCGCCCTCGGCCTCCTCGCCTCCTCCTCCCTCCCCGGGCGCGCGGCTGCTGCGGCCCAGCCGACCTGGGCTCCCGCCGAAGCCGCGCACAGACCCGCGGGGGGAAAGTGGAGACCGCGTGTGCAGCCCCGCGCGCCGCGGCGCCTCCCTCCCCAGCTCACCCATCCCGGCCGCGGAGCCCAGGTCCAGTCCGCGAGCAGGCCCGCCCGGCGGGAGTCGCCCTCCCCTCGGGGAAAGCCGAGGCCCGCGGGAGGATCCCAGGACCTGACCGAAGGCCCCTAAGCATCGGGTTCTGGCGGAGCCCGAGAGCAGGAGGCTCCCCTAGGGGGTCCCTGGGCCTGCGGGCGAGTCCCAGTCCTGGAGGAGCCGCGGGGTCCCTGCCCTCTGTGTCGGAGCTAACGCTGTCCGTTCCTGCCAAGATGAACGGCCCATGTGGTCACCTGACCCCACGATCTCTGCCTTGTGGAAAACGGGGTTAAGAGTTCTGCTGGCCCTAAAGTCAGAAGCCTGGATTGAAACGTGAGCATGGACACCTTGGGGCTCTGTCACCTTAGGGTTGTTCCTAAACTCCCCAACTCCGCACCTCCCTAACCATCAAATGCAGGGAATAATATTTACTTCCTAGGAATGTTGTGAGGATTTTTAAAAAGTGGTTCTTAACTTAGCAGGAAGCCTGGCATAGAGTAACTATCATTATGAACAACCCGACTCTCCTTGTAGGTGGAGGGAGAGGCACAGTTTGCCGCCCTTGAGATAGACCGGGCATCGCTGTTGCAGAGACTCAGGAGCAAGGGTTCGGAGCCGAGGAAACGTGGCTCCTAACAGGAGCTCCCATCTGTCCTCTGCTGCCCCAGCCCCCATCCTCATGCCTGGCTGCTGCGGCTGTGTAGGGCACTCCCCCTCTCCCTCCGCTCCCACAGAAGAAGGGTAGACCTTCTTCTGTGATTTATGCCCTTTCTCTTTTGGAGAGTTCTGACAGAGCTGTATCACACGGGCTTGGAAGGCAAACACACGAGGTAGAAGCGGCTACCCCATTTGCTAGCTGGGAATTTGGGCAGTTATTTAACCTCTGGGGCTTCAGTTCACTCCTCTATAAAATGGTGGGCCTGATACCTACTACACAGGTTTTTTTTATGACGATTAAGGGAAATACTGTGTATAACTGTCTGGCATGTACTATCTCTTCAGTACATTTGAAATTTTAAATTTTACAGTTGAAATTAGGTTAGATTATCTTGCAGAAAATGATGATGGCTCACTGGAATTTCCAGATTTCCACCAAAGGTGGACCCAATAACTGCTAACAGCTTCTCCACTCCCATCTGAGTCATCAAGGTTATTTCCCCTCCAGGAAAAGAGCAGAAATCCAGTGAGGCCGCATTCTCCCCAGAGCCTCACAGGTGTAACTCAGACACTTAAATAGGTTTGGATGCCATTTTAGAGCCGAAAGAGTCTCTGGGGGTGGACCTGGCTTTAAAGTCGAATTCTAAGCCATGATTGTGTATCTGGCTCATCAGAGCCTTCTTCCTAGCCATCCCCACTTGCACATTGCGCCCCAAGCAGAGGTGTGGTGGCTGGGGCAGGGGACTGAGCCAGCACACACACGTGACTCAAGTAGGTCGGGAGCTGTGGACCCTTCTCTAAAAGGATACTCGAGAATCTCCGTGAGCATCGGATTTGTATAGCTGTTAGAAGTTCAGGCATTGGGCAGACTGATTCCCAGAAGCAATGGCAGGGCCAGTAGGCAACTGCGGTTGCCAGCCTCCCAGGTGATCTCCAGTGACCCTTGCCTCCTGGTATTTATGTTCTTGTGTATTCCCCTCCCTTATGAAGCAGGACTAACCTGTGTGACCAAATGAATATTGCAAAATGATAGTGTGACTTTGAAGCCCATAAAAGACATTGTAGCTTCTACCTTGCTGTTCTTTGTATCACTCATTCTGGGGAAAGCCAGGCACGACGTCATGAGTTGTTTGGAGTGGTCCATGTTTCAAGGAACTGAAGCCTCCACCATCAGCCAATAGCAACTCACCAGCCATGTGAGTGAGCCCTCTAGGAAGAGGATCCTCCAATGCTAGTGACGCCTTCAGATGACAGCAGCCCTGGCCAACGGCTTGGCCTGGTGAGAGACTCTGGGCCAAAATCATGCAGTTAAGCTATCCCTGAATTCCTGACTCACAACAAGAAAAAAAAAAAACCAACTGTGCGATAAAAAATATTTTAGCCTATTTGAGGTACATAGATGCTGTATGGATGACTAACATAGCAACATGGAAAGAGTCCCAGGCTCCCATTGGCCAATGCAGGGCTGTTAATAAGGGTTCTGCCCCCTCACTTGATCAGCTCTGCTAGTTCCATATATGCCTGGGGTCTAAAAACCGTTTTTTGACCTCACCTGAGGCCCCACCTAAAAACAATCTAGGGGGAAAAACAAGCAAAAAAACCCAGAGTCTCCTAGTAGCACCAAGTTAAAGTAACCCTAACCTGTGTTTTCAAAAAAGTGTTAAGAGTAGGGCATCCCCTCCCTCCCTGCACCTCCCCACAGTCAGTTTTGGCATCTGGCCCAAGTGTAAAATTGTCAGCACTGGATGCTTTTTGGTCTTGTTATGAGTGTGTCTGCTCTGATGTGTTGGTTCTGGCGTGACATGCGGAAAGTGTGAGCACAGAAGAAGAGTCTGTATCAGATCTCTTCGTGCTAATAGCCTGCCTCTGAAAAGGCTGCTGGTGAGTGGGAGGAGACAGGCTATGATAAGCTGAAGGGTACAGAGCCAGGCCGTTCCACGGATCAGGTGTGAATGCTAAAGTGGTCAGGTCACTTTGCTTCTTTCTGAAGATTCCCTGGTCAGTTCCAGCACCAGTTACCTGTAGATAGACACATGAGGCTGAGTCCATGACCCTAGCAGTGGCAAACTCTTGTGCACCACTATCTAGTAGAAGTCTTACAAATGTTCACTGTTGCTCACACTTAAGAATCATGTTTTTTGCCAGGTGCAGTGGCTTACATCTGTAATTCCAGCACTTTGGGAAGTGGATCACCTGAGGTCAGGAGTTTGAGACCAGCCTGACCAACATGGTGAAACTCTGTCTCTACTAAAAATACAGAAATTAGCTGGGCACCTGTAATCCCAGCTACTTGGGAGGCAAAGGTAGGAAAATCACTTGAACCTGGGAGGTAGAGGTTGCAGTGAGCTGAGATAACACCACTGCACACCAGCCTGGGTGACAGAGTGAAGACTCCGTCTCAAAAGAAAAAAAAACAAACACGTTTTTAATTCAAGCAAAGCTAATTAAAATAAATTACTAGATAATAGTCTTGGGCTGACCAAATGCTACTTGAAATCCTGTACTTTTATGAAACATCTGCCAATGAGCGTAGCTAACTCATATTTTTAAGTATAAATGAATCTAAGATATCTGAGTGGGTGTTTATACTATTCTGCTAGAGTTCTGGGCTGACTGTTTGGTGTAGACTTTAGATCCCCCAGATAGAGGCCTGAAATGGGGTTGGCTAGTCAGGAAACATCAACCTCTTGAAAACCATCCTGATCCCCTAAAATCCATTTCTGATTTTTGATGTGACACTGTTTCAGCTTTTTATTTTTTTCAGAAAGTTTTATTTCTGCTATATTTTTAGATTCAAAAGTATTTATTTAAGGTGAACAAATGATACAGCATTCACAACTGCTGGAACTGCTTTTTAATTGAGAACAAAAAGGGAATACCTAGGACAAGAATATGCAATTACCACATTTATTGTTTTCAGTGAATTTTTTGTCGTTTGTTTATCTTATTGTTAATGTGATGATACAGCAATCCTTGGAAAAGAATAACACTTGCGTTAAAGAACAAATCTAGATAAAAATGGAAAACTGAGTTAGCCACAACCCACAAGGCCTTCTTTGGGAAGAACTCGAAGAGAAACCGACTCACACTTCACAGAAGAATATGGCACTGTCATTTTTCCCTGTATAGTGCCGGAGTGTTCCTGAACAAAAGCCTCAAGGCATTAACAACTCGTCATCTATTTTGTGATGTGCTTCTATTTTCAGGAACCCGCCCTCCTCCCTCTTTGTTCTTGATGCGTTTGGTCACTGGTGCCTACTACTTTGGTCCCATACACACTCGGTGTGGCCGGCCCCCACATGGAGAGTTCACCATGGTGCCCAAGAGCCAGACAAGCAGGGTCACTGTGCACCCACAGGACCAGAGGAGGACCACAGGACCCACCCACTTCCCACAAACAAGCTGGAGCTATATGAAATCTGAAGGAAGTTAAATTATTCCAAATTATCTGAAAAAAAAATGATAGATTATATGTACATTTCCAAGCCTTGGATATTGTTTAAAAAGCAAACAAAACAAAAAACTTCTTTTTTCTCTTGCTGAGCTTTCTGGTGATACAGTAAGCAAGTCCCAACAGGTGACCTAATCAAAAATAGCTTTATAGCACTTACAAATGTATATATCTCAATCATCAACCTTGCAGAGTAAGGAAAGAAGAGACTGAAGTATTTATACCTCTCTGGTAAACAATGGAATAGATTGTCGCTAAGCATGTCTTCCAGCTAAAAAGTTCTGCAGCGTAGTTTCTATAAGTGACTTTAATCTGATTTTAATATCCATCCATTCAGCCAGATATTTGAAAATTATTTAAGTGCCTGTTATATCCTAAGCACGGATATACATTAATGAATAAAGTAGACATGGGTCCCTCCTACAGGCTACAGCCAACCAACTGACAAACAATTATAGATATATTTACAAACTGCATACTTTTGGGGTGGGGGTGGAATTAGGTACAGAGATAGAGAATAACATAGTGTTATCTATATAGGCAGATGGATTAGAAATGGCCTCTCTAAGCAGAAAACATTTACATTAACATTTGAACAATTAAAAAAAAAGTCTGCATTAGCCATGTACAGGGATGGGACATGTTGATGTTCCAGGAAAATTTAAAAACACCACACACATGCACACAGCATAGGCAAAGATCCTGAGAAGGGAAAGGATGGTCTATTTAAAGAATAGAACATTGTGGATACAGACACTTGCAGACTGAAGAACAAGCTAGAATCAAAGCCTGTCAGGGTTTGATTGGGTTATCTAGCCTGGCCATGTGACCGGTTCTTAAATCCCCATCACAGTATGCCCTCTAAAATAGCCAGTACCAGGAGAGGGAGATGGAAAAATAATAAATAAAAATAAACAAATAGCCAACCAGCTTGTGCTCCGGTCTCTCCAATGAGAGGGAATGTACTACCTCTTGAAGTATTCATGCCAATTTGGTTTTAAAAGATGAACATGTTCCACCTTAGGGAAGCTAGAACTGGAATCATGAGTTGTAAGTCCCAGGCCTGCACACGAGAAAATTTTTGAATTGAAATGGAAGAAGCTACTTGATAGCCGTATCTCCTGTTCTTTATTATGTGGGTTACCAAGGACAGGCAGAAAGATTTCAAGTTCATCATCTGTTTTTGAAGGAGAAAATAATTTGAGAATGATAAGATAACTCTCACATGCTTTCCACACTATTCTATTGTAGCAAAATTCAGGTCAGCATCCTGGCAAGCCAGTGATTGCACAATAAGGTCAGTTGTGCTCTTGCAAGACAGCCATGTATTTGCGCTGCAGTGGGGAGGTGGGAGTGACTTTCTGTGGTCCTGGTGGCACATATGAGGAGGAAGTGCATCATACCCTCCACGTCTTTGATAACATGACTTAGCTTCCAAATAGCCTGTTATTGCCCTCACTAAAGAAGCTCTATAGGATCCCAGGAAGATCCTGCCAGTTATTTGCTGGTATTGCCCACAGCCAGCACATACCACCAATAGTTTGAGGCTGGTCTGAGTATGTATTTGTTCCATAATACATAAAGAAACCTACGTTTCCAGGTCTGAAGAGAGGCACTTCCAACTTTACAATCCACAGGCCATCTTCTCTTAAAGTCATTTTTGAATTTTCATATGGTGACCATTGACCCAGCCTCATTGAAACAGTCTTCAAAGGATTTTGGCTTGTCTTTCAGACAGCCTAAGGGTTTGAAAAGTCAAAAAGTTGACCAAGACAAAAT